TAAGTGAAATGATACTATGAGTGGGAAAAAATAAATAAATCAGAGAAATGCATTTTAAAAAGTGGGGAACTATTTGAACCTACTGATCAAAAAAGTTTCAAATGTCCACTTCATTACAAAGAAAAAGAAATGAAAGGGCTGTTCTAAGACTGCAAAGAATATCAATAAAATAACAAAATATAATGCATGAACCAATATGATATACTGATAGAACTCTTTCCAAATAAAAAGACGTTTGACCTATTGGAAAAATTTGAATATGGGCTAGATATTAAATAATGATATGGTATCATCTTCAATTTTCTTTGGTATGATAAACATTGACTATACATGGTAAGATGAGGTGTGTGGAAAAAAAATTAGGGATGGAGTATAATGATGTTTATAAATTACTTGCAAATGTAAAAACAAAAGTGTGCATGTGTGCATATTAGATTCTATATTGGTTTTGGAAAGTGAGAGGGCAAAGGGAAGAACGGGAAAGAAAATGAAAATCTGGCAAAATGTTAACGAACCTTGACTACAAAGGTGGAGGAGAGCTGGGTATATGGGCATCCATTTTGCTAATTTTTTCAACTGCTCTGAAGACTTGCAAATTTTCAGTTAAACAAGTATGTTGAAAAATATATTCAAGAAATATTTTTACAAAGTAACATTTAGATTAAAAACATTTCCTTAAAGTATGTTAACTTTTTTGCTGTACTTGGAATGGAATTCAAAGGCTTGAGCACAACACTAGACAAGTGCTCGATCATTAAGTTATACCTCTAGCCAGTCTGCTATCTATCATCTGTCTATCTATCTATCTATCTATCTATCTATCTATCTATCTATCATCTCTCAGTCTCCTCCCCTTTATGCCAAGCTGTGTCTAACTATGTTGCTCCGGCTGGACTCAAGTCTCTGATCCTCCTGCTTCAGTCCACCAGTTGTAGCAATTCCAGATGTGCTGCCTCTTAGTATACTAGTAGAATATATATGCTCAACATATGTTAGCCTTATTGTTTATATAATGGGAATTGCATTTGACTAAGATAAAGAGGAAACATAATTTGTTGAGATAACTTTTGATTGGCAAGGGCTATGATACAGACATTTTTCAGTTTGGGGATTCCATTCCTAATCACCTGTTCCTTTGCCCATTCAGTCTTGTATCTATTGACTGAATCTTAGCTAAAATACTTTTCATTATATTTTATCAGCAAACCATTGCTTGAGGGCTTGGAGTCTTTTGCCTGATACATCCTCTCCTGGAACTGCAGAAGAAAATAAGTTTATAAAGATGTAACTGCACACTGAATTGACTGAAATTATAATACATGAGGATAGGAAACATGCATAAATAAACACAAATCTGTCTAGAAACAGTTGATTTCATTTTTAACGTCATGGATCCCTGTGACTCACGTGGTCTCCCAAATGAATGGTGATTTGTAAAGCCTAGAACCCCTCAGAATAAGATTTTTAAGTTCATCATTTACAACATATGAGACTTGAAAGAAACCATCCACACTGAAATACTAAAGCAATTATAAAACAAAACTGTGCTATATTAATACATGTAATTTTTTAATTAATAAATTAAGTACTAGGATCATCAAGTCATATATAATATGTACTGAATGTTTGAATTACTTGGAGCTAACTAGAAATAATAATTTCTAGTCTACTATGGTACAGAAGGGTGATTCTAGTTCACAGTATCCTGTTATATATTGTGTGAATAGCTAGAAGAAAGTAACTCAAAAGTTCAAAAGGCAAAGTGTTGATAAAGAAATAGAAATGGAAATTAAATTGATGTGATCAGCAGATATTGTACACATCTAATGAAACATCAATGTACCACATAAATACATTAATATGTTCATCAAAAATTTAAAAAGTTTAAGATGAGAATGTTAATTACACTTCTTTAGTCATTATACAATGTATGTATAGATTTCATACTGTCACATTATACTCTACAAATTTGTACAAGTAAAAGAATAGCATGAAATAAGCATAATCATATTTGAGATCCCTACAAGGACTCTAATGAGATATGAATATATGATATAATTAATATTACTGTAATTTTTCTTCATATTCTCATGGAAAAAAACCCACTGAATTTCAATTTGACTTTAGTGAACACAAAGAGGTAAATTTTCTCCACTCAAGATCATGGCATCTCTCAAACTGCATTCAAGTATCCAGGCTAAAAATTCTTTGCATAAGAGTCCTGCTGATTTTCTTAACCTATGATTTCCTTTTGCATCTGGGAGTGTAATTTGCATCCTGTTTACAAAGATCATGTTGGTGACCAACACACCACAAAAGTCATCAGTATCAGGCTGAAACCTATAGATGTCATCCAATTCCCACGGTACCTAAATGAAGCAAAGGTAAACTTCGTATCTTAATTTGAACAGGTAATTGAGTATTTTATACTTCATTTGTTTCCAACATAGACTAATGTTAATAGATGTCCACTGCAATTCGAACATTTCTGAGCATTTTCATTTTACTGTACTGATACACTGAATTTTCAAAAAGAAAGGTTAAAATTATGTGGACATTTAGTTCCAAATAGTTTTCATAAGGGGCTGGGGAGATGGCTCAGTAGAATAAGCGCTTCCCTGACAAGCTCGAGGGTCTGAGTTCAAGCCCCAGTTCCACAAAAAAAAAAAAGAAAAGAAAAAAGAAAAAAAAACAAATAATTTTCACAGACTTTTTTTTGCCTCAGTGATACTTTTGCTTTTATGAGTACCCTTGGACTATGAAATATTCAATATTTCTAACAGCTGCATTTAAAGGCCTTTGTGAATGAAGAACACTATGGTTAAATAGAGTAAGTTTTTTTTTTATTTTTCACCTGTGCAATTAATAACTTCTACTTCCCTCTAACTTCTACTTGTGTTGCTACTGATAAATGACAGTTTTGCGATTACGGCCCTATCCCAATTGTTAGGTTAATATATTCTTTATGAGATATTATACTATTTATTTGAACTTGATTCCCTACTAGAAAGTAGGAAAGAGCTGTGAATGTATGCAGATAACTGACATCACTTATATTTTATTACAGTTTTACATTTAAAACTTGAAAGATTTAAGAATCTTAAAAAGTATGACAGAAATATAACAATGCAAATTTAAATACACTAGCATTTATTTTTAAAATGCACCATGAAGTAGGCAATTTTAAAAGTTAAGTTTAAAAACAACAAACACCCCCAAGGAAGCTGATCTTAACCTTTTAAAACACAAATGGGCACTATTTAATGTAGGACAAAATATTAAATGAGAGATTTTATTTCAGTCCAATTATAGCCAAATCCCTAGTTGTAATTAACCTACAATTTGGCTAATATTTCATAAAAGAGTCAGCATATACTACTTTATAATAAAATTAGAGGGATCTAAAATTTAGAGCTGACTTTGTGAAACAGGCTTATTGTCTCATTTATTTACAAATGAAAATTTACATTTAGAAACCAAAGACATATAACAAGGTTTTAAAAATTCAAATAAGAGTTATCTGAGAGAATAATAATATATTCTATTTAGCTATTACAAAGTAAAGTATTTCAAAATGAGAAATAATACTTTATAAATATTGAAAAGAATCTTTCAATCAGTTAAATTGAATGTATATCCAAGATTTTTTTTTTTTTTTGGTGGAACCGGGGATTGAACTCAGATCCCTGCGACTGCCAGCCAAGCGCTTATCCTACTGAGCCATCTCCCTGGCCCTCCAAGATATGTTTTAATGAAATTTTATTCAATCTGTCTTAATTCTCTCATTTTCTGCCATTTAAGTTTAAACTAGATTGAGCTTGCTTTAGAAATGATGCACAAGTCTATACCTGTTTATAGTATCAACATTTTAGTTATTTAAATAACAGAATACTTATGCAATTAATAGAATTATTTTAATGTGAAAAAGTGTTGCACTGCTCAAGGAAGATGTTTAGCTACAAATTGTGCGTTTTTATTTTATGTTTGTATAATCAAGTATATCTTCTAAACCAAGGTATAATAAACACATACTTGAGGATGTCGCTAGTCTTTACTTTTTCCAAGATTTATATGTATATGTGGATATCAACTATTGTGTTTGCTTTGTGCCAAAGTCAGAAATGTGAGAAAAGGGAGGAGGTAAGAAAATACAATATACATAATCTAAACCCTTCTTTCTATTACATCTTAATCAAAATGTTCATTACTGAGTTATTGCAACCCTGAATATTAAAATCTGCCTATTATGTAGATAGTTCGGATGAAAGAGTTTGGCAACAGAACTAATTTTCACTACTCACAATAGTGTCATTTGGTAAGCAAAGGCCAAGTCCTCCCTTATGAAACAAGAAGCATTGCTGTCAACTGGAAGCGTAATACACAATCCATTTATAAAATATCTGTGATTTTCCACTGCCCCAGTTTGCATTTGGCTTTCAGTGCTCACAATATATTCCAAGGAAAGTTAAATGATGATTGAATTCAACAGTAACCTTTTGGATTTTTTTCCCCTTTCAATTTCACTATTTTTTGCTTAAATGCCACTTTAGGAAGGTACTAACAAAAATGTAGTGGAACTAGAAGTAAATATTGCTATCATATTTTTAGCACAAAAATCACATTTATAGCGATTGAATAATCTAAGCAAAGAACTGCCTTTGCTATGAAATAGTCACTCATAAGACTTTTCTTTTAAAAATACTTGTGATGTAGCTCATTAAAGTCAGAATATACTGAAGCCATTCAAAAATAAGTCATGTGAATTTTAAAACAAACTCCAAAGTTGAAAATATCTGAAAAGCACTAAGTAACAACAAATATATCTTTTAGTACTAGAGAAGAAAAAATAAAATTTTTCTTTAGTGTTCTTGATGAACTTGATGGGTCTTTTTATGTTTCTGTCATTCACTCAGCTTATAATCTTGTTTCATGAAGTATTTTTTAAAAGTTCAAATAGCCCTGCTAAAATTTTAGTATTCCGATTTGACATGGCATCTTACCGCTTTCTCCTTTCTGCCAGCAATTTGCAGACCTCTTGCCACCGCACATTCAAATTTCCCAACTTTTCCTGTAGAATATTGGCATCTGTTTTTGAGGACTGTTGAATTATTTCTTCCCCAGTTGCATTCAGTGCTCTAACAACAGTTTGTCGCTGCCCAATGCCATCCTGGAGTTCCTATAAAATATAAAAAACATGAAACAAAAGTGAAGCCCTCTGTCTTTTTATTTGAGACAAGATTAAACAATGTAAGACCACATGCACTTGTACTGGGAGAGAAAGAAATGCAAAATCTCCATGAGAAAGTTGCTCTATGAAATTGACACGCCCATATCCAAAGGATACAAGACAGAAAGACACCTTTGATACGTCATCAAGAAATCACCTCTCATTTTAGCTCCAATTTTTATTTTTGTAAGCTTGTCAGCTACAGGATGTTATGATGTCCTAGAAATCAATTAGTTGGAAACCTCCTCAAGAACAAATTCATTTTCTTGTACCCCACAATGATGTTCCATGTTTAATAGTCTATGAAGAGTTGTAAAACTTAAACATGAATGAAGTATTATATTTGGGTTTCTCAGTGATTGCTGATATGAGAGGTGAAAAAGAACATGTAGTTTAGAAATTATATTTTTTAAAGACTTGGAGATTATTAAATAAAATTAAATACTATTTAAAGGGAAATATATTTCAATTTCTGTTTGCATCAGTGTAATTATTATAAAACCACATAAAACTGAGAATTAACTGCTTTCAGGGAAGCCCATCAAGAAACCTCTAAGGAACAGTAATACATTTTAAAATAATCTCTAGCCACCAGAAAACTTTTATGAGTCATTGATGTTGTCAAGCTTAAATATCTTCTCTTTTTTATCCTGAATGAAACTTAAAGAATAAAGTACTGGAAAAATTATTCCATTAAAAAAGTCTATTTCAACCAAGTGTGAATATAAATGAAAATGCTGTATGTGTAAATAAAAATTTCTATCTTTATTTTCGCTTAAAAATATAATGTATTTTATGGCAAATAAATTAACATATGACTAAATACAAAATGGAGAAATTGAAATAACACATGCCAACTTCAGACATATTTGTATTTAAATCTAAATGACACCCAAATTTTTATGGTGACAATAACAAAATAGTGACAATATGTAAAATAGTCTTTCTAATACATTTGACTCAAATTGTCATATACTCTTACATTCCTCTATTTCTTGACCTAGTACTAAGTTAATACTTGGCTACAGAATATGTTCACCAAATAAATCATTGAATGTAGGTTTTTGAGAATGAGTCAATTGTCTCTTACACTTTCACTTCACAAAAAATTCTTGATATTTTTACTACATTTATATTGCATTGTTTTACAACTAAAAATGTAGTCTGCATATTTTTATTATTTAAAAGGGTCCGTAATTGGAGGTGGGGATATAAGTTGGTGGCAGAGCACTTGCTTAACATAAGCAAGGCCCTGGGTTCTGTCCTTAGCCCTGCAAAGCAAAAACAAAAGCAAAAGCTATATGAATCAACAAAAATAATGAAAAAAATAGTGCCTCACAACAACCTCTACATGATTAATACATGAAGTTCTTTGACTGATTCACAAATTGTCTTGTCCATACTCTCTTGAATGCCATGAGCTATTTTTTTAGTAAACACATGACATGTTCTTGCAACTTACTGACTTTATTCCATTATTTATGTCTCACTCTTTCCCACATTATATGTGACGTCACTCCTTAGTCACAGGATTATCAGTCATAATACACTGTGGCTATCATCCCATTAAACCATAAATTTCTTGAGGGTAGTTCACAACTGTGCCCTGTTGCTTAATACAGTACTGTATTGATGCACAAGAAGTTTCAATAAATTTCTGGGGGCCAGGGAGATGGCTCAGTGGAATAAGCACTCCCCTGGCAAGAGCAAGGGCCTGAGTTCAATCCCTGGTTCCACAAAAATAAATAAATAAATAAATTTCTGTTTAGTGAATGCATGAATGGTGAGTCAAAGACCTAGAAAACAAGAGAAAAGAAAGAATGAAGAAGGAAAGAAATAATAAAGAGAGGGAGAAGAAGGAAATAAAGAAAGGAAGGAAGGAAGGAAGGTGAATCTCATCATCAACATTAGTATTGACACATATCATTGGGCATCCTAGATATTCAAAAATTAAGCACAATTTCTGGTTTTCCAGGAGTATATAATCTGGTGTGAAGGTTAATTTGCTATATTATATGAAGCAAGATAAAGAAGGCAGGAGACTCAGTGAAGAGTAGATCTGAAAAGGGATGATCTGAACAAGATGGACAGAGGAGCCCTCTACTGGGTTTTAGAATTAAAAGAATGTGTAGAATTTAGGCACCAGGAGCTTTAAGGAGGCAGCAGGATGGCAGAAGTCAAGGTGCGTGGTGTGTAGTCTCCATGATCAGATCAAGAATATCCAAATGGGTTCTATGTCATTGGATGAGCACCTGAGTTTAGGGAGAGATGCAGCTCTAGGTTCATGTTATGGCCTAGGAAAAAAGGGCTTCTTTTTTGTTAAGGACTTTGAAATTCATTAGAAGTCAATATAAAACAATTTTGTTTTTAAATATGGTTGTACCTAGATGAGAGTGGTGGTTTTGAATACATTCTGAAGTAGAGGATGGACTAATGATAAGGCAGAGAGAAAGACCAAACAAGCTAGAATGGGTATCTGGGCTTAAGCATGGGGACCAAATCTAAAATTTTCACGACAGACCAGAAAGGCAAAGCTAGCGGTGATAGAACTATTCAGAAACAATCCATAAAGCCTGGGAAAAAGCTGGCTCATGCAATTATGAGTGACTTCTGAAATGGAAAATAATTGCCTAAAACAGAGATGTCATGGAGGCAGTTAGAAGGGAAAAATCAGAGATATTTGTGCTGTCAGTAGTGTCCAATACTTATAACTAATAGCATGTTTTTAAAAATGCACAGGACACACATTATAAACTTGCTCCTCAAACATGAATGTGCACAAGAATGTCCTGGAGATCTTGTTACACTGACTCAGTAGGTTGAGGGAAGATCTCTAGTGTTGTATTCCTAACCAGCTTCAAGGGGACACCGATGCTCATGGTTCAGGAACAACATTGAGTAATGAAGTGGTAGAGTAAGTGCCTTTCAGTCTTGCCTAAATAATGAAGGAAACCTCATTGCTGGTCACAGTACTATAAAGTAAATCTGCTTCTGAATATTTATCTCAGCCTCTTTGCTTTGCGTTTTTGATCTTAGCCCTATTACCTCATGGCTGATGGCTGCAGTGCCTTTTATCTTCCAATTGTAGAATCAACAAGGATTTTATATCTGTTTAACAGCTAGGGGACAGAATTGAATAGCAAAGAGTGAAGCAATCACTTAAAATTGCTAGTTATAAATCTCATTTATATAGAATCCCAAATCTGGGTCTTTAGATTTTTTAAAATTTTGATAAAGAGGAGTTCATTAAATAACATATTGCATTTCTATCAGAAGTTTGTATAACCAGGAAAAATATTTATACTGTGTGGTCTACTCAGGAAGAATATTCCATGATGTAGTATTAAAAAAGCAAAATGAAGGCTCAAAACAAGAAATACAAATTTCGTATGGTGTTTTATTGTTAGCCTCTAAACAAGAAAAAAGATAACATTTTATTTACAAAATTAAATATAAAATCTTAATCAAGTTCATTCACACAGCAAAAAAACAAATTAATTTGAAGTCTATAGCTTCTAAATATTTTAAGTAGTAAATTATTCATTACCAATGAAATTTCTAAGCTTTGATATCATATTAATATACTGTTGTCATAGGCATCCTTATCTATTTCTCTGCCAATTAACATCATCTTAGTTTTAGACAGAAAGAAAATCATAATTAAATCTATTGGATTATTCATCATGGCAAGAAAGCTTATTATGTTTTGATTCCAATATTAAAGCATTCATTCTTAATAAGGAATGCATATCAGTCTCCCCTAGGGAGCTTTTTGAAAATATAAAAACCACCTTGAGCCTCCCAAATTAGAATCCCAAGGGGGGAAGGGGATGAAGGTATGCAAAATAGATACACTATTTTGCATAGAAAGAAAGGGTAGGATCAGATGCAGAGATCTGCAGGAAAGCAAGAAGGGGGTGATTTCCAACTTGGGAGTCATTCTTAAATTTGTTCATGCTTTTTACATCAAGAAGTGTTCCTAAATTATAGAAAAATAACATGTCAATAGCTAAATCCTTCAAGTGTGGTCAAATTGTTGTGGGGAGGGAGAAGAAAGATACAGGGAAGAAATGGTTACATTTTTATAGAGGGAAGAGTGTGAAAAAACCCCCACTACCTTTTATATGAAAACATTGCATAAATTTTTGAACAGTACATTTGTAAAGCTTTCCTAAAATGTATGAAAACATAATACATGGAAAATAAAATGTGACAGATGAAAAGGAATGAGCTGAGGAGCGATTATGAGAAATTGTACAAGGACAAATTGGGGGAGCTGTAGAAGAGATAAAAAAATTGGCAGAACACTCACAAACAAAAGAGAAAAATATTAAAATAAGGATGAAAACACATGATTGAGAGGAAGAGATAAAGACTGAAGGAAATAGAGAATAGAGAAGCAAACCTTTAATCAGCAAACAAATGTCAAGAATCCAATCCAGAAGTTTTCTTGTAATTTTGATAATAATTTATTTTAAGACAGATTGATAATAATTTATTTTAAGACAGATTTATTTTAAGACAGATTGACTCCCTTTACTGATGGATCAACTGAAAATAAATGAGTCTTGCAGTGAGTTGTGAAACTGGTAAGATTTTATGTTGTGTTTTCACAAAAATATTGTGCTCTACCTTCTTTTTCTGTGCCTATTAAAATTATTTTATTTGCTTCTTCTTGTGAGTCTGTGGAATGAAAGAAATTGAAAAGCAGTTTTTGGTACTTTTCTCAAAGATAAAGTAAACAAGCTAGAACCTCACGTGCATTCTTAAACTCTGTAGTCACCTCTGTTTTCAGATTTTTTAAATGTATTTCAGAAAGTATATTTCAACTTTTATCAAATGCTGTATTTTTATAAAGAAGCAGCACAAAGGCAAGAATACCCAAGGCATCAAGCAAGCACACAGCAACAGGGACACAATCAGCTCTGGGCTGGGTGATTTCTCTGATG